ACAATGTTTTGCAATTATGAAGATTTTTTTCCTGTACACATACATTCAACTTAAATCCCAATTTATTTAACTTATTAAATATCCAAAATTCATTTTTAGCCAATTCTCACATAGGATCCTTATAATATAAGAGTGCAGAATATTAACTGGCGAAATTAGAAATATGCAGCTTACGTCATTTAAATTTTCATCTGTTACAATCATAATTTTTAAAGAGAGACAATGAAATGGGCGGGTACAATTCAACACGGACGTCCGAGAAAACATTGGATTAAAATTCTAGTTTGAAATTCATTTTCAATCCACCTGAGCTGTTTTCAAACCTAAAGTGTGAATGTATGATCCGAAAGACAAATAATTTCAATTCCCAAATACATGTTGTTTGACATTCATATTTATATGAGTACTTTAGCCTATAATTTTAAGGATGCGTAAAAGCAAAAGAAGACAGAGATTACTTTTTCAGAGGACGGCCATTTGATTCTAGAATGGGGGTGTCAAAAATTGTCGAGTCAGATCATGCCTTCACATGATAGAATATATTTATTTCTAGGATGACAAAAGCTTTTTTTTTAAGTTTTGTCTTCACTGAAAACTGTTTGATAAACAAAAGCAGGGAGGGGTTGTCAATTTAAAAGAAAATTTTCATATTTATTCCAAGATCGTTCAGCTCGCCTCCCTCCCAGCACACACATACACATACCAAACAGAAATCAAATAATTGTCCATTTATATTTCTTTAAATACACTGGACAGAAAATTCTGATTTATATAAATTTCAAACTATTCCAAAATTGAAATTATTTGTCTTCTTGGTCAATCAGTAACAACGTACGTTCTTGCGTAGCTGAGGTGGATTGAAAATGAATTTCAAACTAGAATTTCAATCCAATGCTTTCTCGGACGTTCGTGTTAAATTGCACCCAGCCATTTCATTGTCTATCGTTAAACATTTTGACGGTAACAGATGGGGATGATGTAAGTTGCATATTTTCAATTTTGCCAGTTAATGTTCCGCGGTCTTAATTTGTTAAGCAAACTGAATCAACACAACTTTGAATGGTTTGCATTCTAGTGGTTCTGTTGCAGCAAAGTTCTCTCAAACAAACCTAACTTTTTAAGTCATTTGGAAGTAATATATGAATCAGTAAAATATTAATGGACATGCTGATACAGCTCATCCCAATTTCTGAAAATAAAATCTTTATCTTCTGGGCTCCTTTCTTTAATTTTTCGAACATTGATAATTTATTTCAAATACCTATGAAAGCATTTGAAGCACAACGCCCTACCTACTCTCTTCTGAATATGTACAAGATCCTTGGTGCCAACAACCAACTGGCACTTTTTATTTTCAATGTTACCATCACCAGACACTAAATTGTCTTTTTTTTTCTTCCTCTGATTGGAACAAACAGTTGATATTATCTTTTGGTATAACTGGTTCTTTTCAGACACAATAATTAATTTTTATAGAATTTTCGTATTTAATTTTTCTATCAAAATGTAACTTATCTTTACAACTCAATCATTATATATATATATATATATATATATATATATATATATATATATATATATATATATATATATATATATATATATATATATATATATATATATATATATATATATATATATATATATATATTTTAAATCCCATAATCTTTAATTTCATGTCAAGAAATTTCTATATAGAAGTATCTCTGAATACTTTGCCTTTTGTTTGTTTGTTTTACATCTCTTCGAGAATTTTTACTCATAAAGAGACACACTACCACTTGCCAATGGAGGCTAGGGCTGCAAATTTTTACCTATACAGGACACTCAGAACCATTGAGCAGTGATGGATTTTTTTGGTGCCAGCATCTACTGCGAAATGGGATCTCGGTTTATACGGTCTCATCCGAAGGGTCCGTTTCTAAATGCATACCGCAGTGGGATTCGAACCCACGACGTAATGATTAACACATTACTTTGAATCTCTAGAGCAAACGATTTTGAACAACTGTGCAACGCGAGTGACATTTGCTATTTGTGATTTTGATTTAATACAAATTTCAGTGAATTTCAGGTATACTATATAGCTGAGCTGGACAAGTTTTTCAAACTTTCAATGAATTAAAACGATCGACTTGAATCTGTTTTGATTTTTTAAAAATCAGATGTAGTTGTTAAACTATTGCAAGAAATAAAACTGTTGTAATTATGAGGATCGATATTTCTCACATATCGATCACTGGTCTTAATAAGCCATTGTGTCCGCACACGCATGTATTCATTCATTTTAATTGTTTTATTAATAAAATCAAATGAAACATTTTTAATGATAACGTACTACTGCAATACACTTTTATATGCAGACATGTTGAAATGCATTAATTAATGTAACACACGTTTTTCAAGTTCAGTACTAGTGTTGTACACATGACCCACTAAATGTTGATAAATTCATGCAATTAAGGATTAAAAATTAATGTCATCTGAAATTGTTACACATTTACTTCTTTCTTTTTTAAGTAATTCTTATCTGCAGAGTGGTCAAAAACACTCAGTGTTGTCGGCAAGGTCGGAAAGGAATTTTCTGGACCGATAACGTACAAGAAAACAGTGGTCCAAACGACCGTTTGAAACATTGAACGTGATGCAAATTTCTAAAACGCTGTGCCTACATGTAGGTAAGGGCCACAAAACGCCGAAAACGTCCGTATGGTGCCGATTGTCGATCAAAATTGTTAAAGCATGTCTCTGATTAGAGACTCTGTATCATAAGATTGGATTTTTTGTGAGATCGAATATCATAAAACTTAAAAGACTTCTTATTTTAGTGCTATTATTTTTTCCCTTTATCAGCGATTCAGCGTACAAAATAAGATGCATGTATCTGGTCCGACAAAACTTTGTTCAGTCTAATAGATCACTTGACTTTGTGATTCAAAAATTTTGACAACTCTGCTCTGAAAATCACTGCACGGTAAATTCATTTACAGTTGTATAGACTTTACAGTTGTATCTGTCCTAATGTACTTAAAAGCATAGGTGAAATATTTGCGAGATTTTGCCAGGTTTATATCCTTCTTTACATGACTATTAATTGTTTGGAAGTTTGAAATATAACAATAAAAAAGCAGTTTCAGCTTGTTATATGAATCTAACGTAAACGGTTGTGATTTGTTGTTTTTCCCACTTAAAATTTACATGTACATGTAGTTCAAATGTCAGACTCGGCTGTTCCGACTTATTTTATCAAGAATTTCATATGTGAAATGCTTATAAATTTTATGCCACAACATGAAAACAACTTGAAAACTCAAAAAGCTTAATCTAGAAATTTATCTTAAAGTTTCACCTTTCTGTTTACGTTAATCACCTTCTCTTCGATTTTCTCCCTCTTCGATGTTAAACGTATTAGGATTCAATATTAAACGAACAATTGTTTATTTATATCCAAATCAATGTACATGTAATTTGTTTATTCTTTTGATGTTTATTGTATTACCAAATAAATATTGTTGAAAACTTCGAATATTTATGGCCAAAAAAAAATAGGTATAACATTGATTGTGAAACAATTTTTACCACGCGTTAGTCAATGCAAGGAGGTTTCGCGCAGTCATATAGTTACATGCGCAGAGTTGTTAATTTTATAGGTGCCGCTGTATGTGCTGCAAGGGAGGTTCGTGTCGACAATTTTCAATTGCACAGATGTCAGATTACACCGTTTTCACTGTAGTTTAGATTCTGAAAACCAAGGTTTTTTTTCTGAAGGGACTATCTTCAGTACAATGCCAACATTATTTTTAGTTCTGTATAGATCAATTTTAACTTAATCAAAATAGAGTATTCAAATTAAGTTAAATGAAATTCAATTGCATTTAGTTTCATGTCATTTATCAAAATTAGATAAATTCAGAAAATTGAAATGGACTATTTTCTGGCGGACGTTTATGCAAGTTTACAATGAATATAACAGGAGTAAATTGGTCGACACAGAAGCCACGGACGGCCACTATATAATCAATACAAATCACTGCGCTTAGAAAGCCCGTGATGACCAAGGGAGATTGAACATAGTTCAACTCCCAAAAAGCATCCACGCATAGTTTATAAAATTGCCATAGAATATAACGATCTAAGAAAATATGATTTCCAATCCTCACATGAATAATTAAATTTAAATTGTCAGAAATAATTATCATTTCATTTAAAACACGTGTTTCCAGTAATCCTCCAAAAGAAATTTCTGTCTTTACTGCAATTGTCACTTTAAACGATCCATTGCGAAATAACGATCCAAATGTATTTTCATAGTATTTTAAATATAAGTCGGTGACGGTGTGGTAACTGAATATCATGAGCTCATAAACATGTTTTTAAAAATGCTAATTATCAAAACACTGCCTTTCAAAATTAAAAAAAAAAAACATATGTTAAATTAAACAGTCCAGGGTATTATGCAAAGTATAAGGTCAAAGAGTGGATTGTAATTCTGGTATTTTTCAAAATGTTTTATGACAAACAGTGTACATGCTAAATAGCATAGGCTTACCTTTTAAATGCCAAAATATGTTGTTTATGGGCACTCTGAACTATTTTGAAAAGTAGGTCAAAGGTCAAGGGTCACGAGGTCGGTAACAACGGTAATTTACAAAATTCATATTGCAAAGCAATATAAGTGCAAAATATCAAATCCATACCTCTAATAAGGTGTGACAGACGGACAGACAGACAAACAGACAGACGCCGGGTAAAGTGATCCCGAAGTATCGCTTTCCTCTGCAGGCGACACAACAGGACAGGAGCAACAATTCTTTCAGTTTCAAATTGCATTGACAGTGAATCAAATATATCTCAGTTAAGAGCATTTGGTCCATTGAACTCTTATCTTTCACCTCAAGAAAGAAGGCAAAATTCAACAATTCTTTATTTCAAAGAATCCATTTCTTTTGAATTATCTTCAATTTACTTTTAGTTTCTGGTTTAAAATGAATTACAAAAACACCAGATTAAATGCTTTTATTGAATAGTTCATCCGCAGCTTTATATGTAATTTGCCATCCAGTCCAAATACTTGGACACTCTGGTATACACGCTTGGGTAAGATCCATCACACGTGCTAATGCCCCACGACGTCACCCCAGCCAACATGTAACCGCCATTTTTGTTGCAAACATAAGGGCCACCACTGTCCCCCTTCAATACAATAAAAATGTTTTGAACCAGACATTTAAAATTCTTATTGCTTACAGACTATTATATGTATTTTTCTGAAAAACTTACATTGCATGCAGATTTGCTTGGTTCGAAAGGGCAGATGTGAAAGTCATATATGGCGGCACCATTGACGCTGGACCAGCGGGTTGCACACTCAGTGTTTGCGATATTTGTCATTTGTGCTTCCATAAGTACATCCGAAACAGATCCACCTAAAAATGGAAAATATAAGTACAGGCTTCATTCAAGATCAAAGGAATTTCATTCACTGATCAACAGGAATTTCTCAGCCAATATGTTTAAAGTGACTTTAACAATATTTCTTTATGGTGTAAAAGATTTGAATTGTTAATGTTTTTTCCTGTTTCATATTGTTTGAAAATATTGTTTAAAATAAATTGAGGAACTGTGAATGTGTAATTTGTAGAATAAAAATACAATTAAGTTTTATAAGAAGCATTTTATCCATTTTCCTGGTTGCATTGTAAACCCTTATCACTAACTTCAGTCAATTAAAAAAAAAGGACAAATATTTATTTATTTTTTAACGAACCCCCAGTAGTTCTTCCCCATCCAGTGATGTAACAGTCAGCATTGTAGGTGAAATCTTCATTAGCATTTGTAGGTAGAGTGGCAAGCTGGATACTCCCGTCAACTGTGAACGGTGAAGAGAGTTCCAACAGGGCTATGTCGTTAGGGTAACCTGCACTAGAGGAGGAGTACTGGGGATGCTGTTAAAATTATGCAAAAAATATTAAACTCAATTAAGCATGGAACGATTTTTTGTTTTAATGGTATTTTGAATCACGCAGGTGTGCGTATGAGGTCTATTTCGCGTGCTAAGAGAATTTGCATAATTTTTGCAAGCAATATGCAAAACTGATAATTTGACCTACAAGCGTAAATTCTTTTCAATAATTTTCAAATTAAAATCAATTTACATCTTTATACATTTCATCATATACATGTACGACACTTTTGCGTTTTACGGACATTTAGATGCAAGTAATTTATCAGAAAAAAAACGAACTGTGGAATGTAAATACATGTATTATAAAAAAAATGAAATTTCTAAGCATCTTTTTTTTTGTTTAGAAAATCTTAAATTTTTCGTTTAAATAAATGTCTCTTCTAATCAAGTCTTTACCATTATGATTGTGTTGATGGATCTTGTAGCACCATTCTCAGACACTCTGTGGATCCCAGCTTCAATGCGTAAGTTTGAACGTGTCATTCCACTGTAATTTACATTATATAAATTGAAAACAAGTATACACTTATTAATATGCATGCTATACCGGAAACAGTGTATTCTTAGAAGAAAAACACCCATTGTCGCAATTTTAAAGGAATACTAGTAGCTCGGTTTAGAGCATTTGCTAAGAAAACTCCTTTTCACACGATCTATGTCAGCAGGAGTTTACTTTTTCACGTGATTTTTTGGATACTAGTATCTGTTCTAATCACGTATTTTCAACAAAAAAATCTATTCACACAGGTTTAAAAGAAAGAAATGGATAGATTTTCTACTTTTCACCGATTATTCTTTTACCAGAGGTATTTTATTTGAGTGAAATATGTGGAGATAAAGAACAGCAATCGAGCACAAAAGTCCATTGAACATTACAAAATAGGAGTAGAGCAAACACGGACCTCTAAGACATCAGAGGTGGGATCAGGTGCCAGGGAGTTTACATGTAATTTACGAATATAGATTCAGTAAATGAAATTTTTGAACAGTCCTTGAAAAAGTCAGTTCAGTGGTGAAAGGGGTCAATGTTTTCCCCTGATTTAATTGTCTGTTGTGATTATTGCAAAAGAAAAGACCCATATGATTCCTTCTTCGCTATCACATGTATATCAAAGCAGATATAGTGACTGACATCAAATGCATAAGGTTTGAGGAGAAATTATTTTTTAAAAAAAAAGGTATTAAAGCTGAGTTATTTAGGTGATTGTTAAATTTACTTAATGTTATAGGGTTGACACGATTTTCATGATTATCAAAAAGAGATACAGATATATACAGTTTTAATATATATACTAGTATAAAATATAACATACTCAACGCAGTGGGCAGCGGTCAGAACCCAGTTTGGTCTGATGAGGGATCCTCCACAAATGTGAGAGAACTGCAGGAATGAGAACTGACGGTACTGGAGGGACACCTGCCAGGGCCACTCCCCGGGGGAAGCGTCCTGTCCGTTTACGATACGATGTAGGTCGTCCGGAAACTAAAATATGGTAGTTGTTTTCTTTCTAAATGTCTTACTCATCAAATCGAAAACAGCAGACTATTACCATTTAGATTTTTCCATATCACATAAAGGTGTAATATTTTATTTTGAGAAAGTTAAAAATCAAATTTTCAAAATTAATTTAAAAAAAATTATTCAAATAAATTTTCTTTAAAATTTTAGCATCTATTATGGTGTACCACAACAAAATAAGAAAGAGAAAGAGGAGGAAAAAAATCATGAATAGACTACTTTAGTTACTAACAAATAAAGTAGAAAAACGAAAGGCTATCAAACCTCGGGTTGCGATGCCAGTCCCTTAAGGATCTCCTTGGCTGGCTGATAGATTGTTGGTAGTCCAGATACTATAAAGATGCAAATTGATAAAATCACAGGATTCCACAATATTTCACACACCTTATCAATGCTTTTTGAATGAGTTAATACGTGTTGTTATCTAATTTTCTAAATTTTTACCACCTAAACACAATAACACCTTATTCTAATTTGAAAGTTTAAAATTTTAACCCCTTAATGGCAGAGTAAAAAAAATGATGTTACCTACTGTCTCTTTAGGGATGATTGCAAGTAACAAATGTCGAAATTGAAATACAATTCAATTCAATGATAAATACTTTATGATCAATTATTTTATTCCAACTTACCTGTGAGGACCAGAAGCGAAAAAAGCACCACCAAATGCATTTTTAATTAGCTAAGATCCAAGAGTGATAGGACTAGGGAATATTTCCCTTTTATACTTTTTTTGGAGAAACCATATGAGTATTTTCACAGAGATATGTGTCGCAGTTTTGTCCGAAAACAGGACCAATAAGTTATTTTCACGAAATACATCATCTGTACCACTTGAACATTGTGTAATAGCTATATATTTTACGACGAAAATTAGTTTTTAAAAGTTTTAATGAAGGCAATCGTGTCACTTGTCGAACAATAGTATAATTTCCCCTTCTGCAATAAATAATTTTGAGAGAGAGAGAGACCCAATTGTATTTTTCAATGGTTATTTTGATCTTTCGTATTTCTATCAAGATTTTTAACGAAAAATAGAAATAAAAAGTGCAATTAATTGAGATTTTTTACCAAAAAAAAAAAAAAGCCCTGAACCTTTCTTTTCATCGAACAGTATTTTTGTTGCTAAAAAGTTTAAAAATGACTTGTCATTTTCTTTAATTAGAATTTTCTAATAATTGAATTAACCTTCTTTCTTACCTCAGTTTATAGCTAAAGAAATATATGATTCCATTATTCAAGATTAAACACAGCTTGGTTTTGTTGGAATTCCTTTCTTTTCATTTTTTGTGTTCAATGTTTTGCTATATCTAACATAATCTATTTTTGAGTAAACTAAAATCTGCGTAAAATTACGTGCACTTTGTGAAGATACTAGCTCAAATCAGAAATACTAAATCGAAAAAATTAGATATGGAAAAATAAAACAAACAAAAATAGTTTTGTCTTTTATTGAATATACTCATTAGAAAAGATCCCAGGGCAACTATGACATGTATTGATCATTTTAGCTTTCTTGTAATACATATGCAGTTTTATTTGTAAGTTAATGAATAGAAAAACGAAGTTAAAAACAAATGCATGACGATGACAAACAAACAGAATAATACACAAAACAAACACACAAAGGAACAAACGAAAACAGAAGTTTGATGTTCTATTATAGCATTATATGCTTTGATTGTATGTTCTAGAATTTATCTTTAGTTCGTAAAATGACTATTTTCCCTACTGGGCTGCAGGGTTACCATTAAGTAATTACACATACACACAAATGTCGACCTTTAAACAATAAAATGCTTTCTTTGGTTGTTAGTACGGGAATTAATGTCGCAGCTGTTGCAGAAAAAATACATATTTTTCTGCAATAGATGCGACGTTAATTCCTGTACTAACAACCAAAGAAAGACATTTTATTGTTTATATTTATATCTGTATAAATAATCATTTAAAGTAGGATTAAAAAGATTAATTATTGTATTATTGATATGTATGTAATAGTACGTTTCATTGATGGAACAGCCACTGATCAAGAAATCCGTACAGGTGATATGCCCAGTGTTGTTCACGAACTGATAAACGGTAATGGTTTTCTTTAGAAATAAAGGAGAAAATATTCAGTGGATGTAAATATATTGTAATGAACTTTTATTATCAAGTGACATTAGTGTCAAAAAGCTATAGAACGTTTTGACATGACAGGTAAGGATGCTCAACTGTTTAATCGATCAGAATTGTAAATCAGATAAAATATTACATCATATTAGCACCGGAGAAGTTTTTATTGGGGTGCACCACTGAAATATGATCTGTAGACTAAACAGCTGACGCAAATTATTTCAGAGATGAATGCATTTATTGAATTTCTCAGTCATTCATACAGTGAATATATATTATAAATTGACTTTCAAATTTTTTTAAAATAAATAACATGAAAGGAAAGCAATTTTCAAAACATATCAGATTTTATATGTTTTACATAAAAGATCTTTTATCATAAGGTACAAATGTTGTTTAAAACTGCCTCGTGATCCTGGGTCTTCATGCTTAATATAATGTAAAAGGTGACGATAACGAACAGTGATTAATTTCATGCTTAATATAATGTAAAAGGTGACGATAACGAACAGTAATTAATTTCATGCTTAATATAATGTAAAAGGTGACGATAACGAACAGTGATTAATTTCATGTTTAATATAATGTATAAGGTGACGATAACGAACAGTGATTAATTTCATGTTTAATATAATGTATAAGGTGACGATAACGAACAGTGATTAATTTCATGTTTAATATAATGTATAAGGTGACGATAACGAACAGTGATTAATTTCATGCATAATATAATGTAAAAGGTGACGATAACGAACAGTGATTAATTTCATGTTTAATATAATGTAAAAGGTGAGGATAACGAACAGTGATTGAATCCATGCTTAATATAATGTAAAAGGTGACAATAACGAACAGTGATTAATTTCAAAAATCTAAGAAAGAACACAAATCGTGAAGATGACAAAAAGACCACTAGAATCACCAAGGGTGGGATCGAGGGCTATGAAGAGTAAGCATCATATGTAAACCGCAACATCTGCCTTGAGCCCTATGTATTGATCAGCTAGACGGAGTAATCCATACTCAAATTTAGAATAAAAACAACGTTAACGGTATGAAATTTAACAGTCAAAATACGACCAAACAATAAGCTGCATTTGCAAACAAGGTCAATATAACCACTACGGAATTTGCGAGATATTAACTTAAAACGAGGATAAAAACTTTGAAGGGACACAATAAAAAGAAATTGTGTTCGATCGTATCTTTTTCGGGTTTTACTTAAAATGTGATGTTTATTTCATCACAGACTCTATTAAAAAACGAGAAAATTCAAAGAATTGTGGTCCCCCACTTTTGGTATCTTAGTGGTTGGGATGCAGTTATTTATGACATATTGTAACTGTCTTGTTTGTGTGTCCTTCAAACTTATAGGTGAAGGTCATGAAGTCAAAAATGATATACCTTTTTTAAAGGTGTTGCCATAGGTAATGTAATGTAAAATATGAAAGCCCTATCTCCTCTCATTCAAAAGTTATTACAAATGTAAAAAAAAAAAATGAAAAATACAGTAGGTTAAACTCTAAGGTCAAGGTCACGAGGTAAAAAATTCAGAGAACATTCCAAAAGGTCTTGAAGCAGACAATGCACATATCAAATATACATGTCCTATCTTTTCTCATTCAAAAGTTATCAGCAATGTATTTTTTTTAAATTAGGTCAAACTTCAAAGTAAAGGTCATAGGGCTTATACGTTTGGTAACATCTTGTCACAGGTAATGTACATGTCAAGCATAAATGCTATATCTTCTCTCCATCAAAGGTTAGCAGCAATTTTTTTTTTTTTGAAAATTAGGTTAAACTTGAAGTTCAAGGTCATGGGGTAAAATATCGTAGCTTATTTGGAAACTTTTTGTCAAAAGTAATGTACTTGTCAAATATGAACGCCATATCATCTCTCAATCAAAAGTTATCACCAATGTTAAAGATAGAATATATCAAAAGTAGGTCAAACTTTAAGGTCAAGATTCACGTGGTCAAATAACATAATATTATCAGAACCAACTCGTCACAAGTAATGCACATGTCAAATATGACTTCTCTATCTTCTCTCATTCGAAAGTTATAAACAATGTTTAAATTTTTGAAAAGGTCAAATTTTAAGGTCAAGGTCATGGGGTCAAAAATCATAGTATATTTAAAAAGGTCTTGTCACAGGTAATGTACATATGAAATATGAGAGCCCTACTTTTTTTTCATTCAAAAGTTATGACCAAGGTTAAAACTACGGAGTAATATTCCTATAAAGCTATTTACATTTCTTAAGAAGACCTAGGGAGTAATATTTTGGTTTGAACTACGGAGTTCTCTCTTATCCTACCGACATTCTTATGAAAAAACTACGGAGGAATATTCATCCAGAAAGTTAGAAAAATCTTTAAAAAAAAAAAAAACCGAAGCAATACTAGTATTCCTCTAGAAAGCTTAGCCTATCTAAATTTCTTATGAAAAAACTACGGAGTAATGCTCCACTACAAAGCTTAAGGTTCGTTTCTCAAAAAAGAACTACGAAGTTACCTCTGGGAAGCTACACGTATTTACAATTCTCATGAAAAAAGCTACGGCGTAATATTCCTCTGAAAGTTAGACCTGTATATTTCTCATAAAAGAAATACGGAGTTATAAGTATTCCTCTAAAATTCTCATGAAAAAAATACAATACGGAGTAATATTCCTCTAAAACAAACAAGGTACATGTCCTATGAAAAAAAAACCCACGGGGTAATATTCCTCTGGAAGACTATCTATAATTCTATTGCAAAAACTACGGAGTAATATTCCTCTAGGAAAGAGTATTATTCCTTTAGAAAATCAGGTACATATCTTATGAAAAAATCACGGAGCACTATTCCTCTAAAAAGCTTTGAACATTTCTTATAAAAGAACTACGGTGTAAAAATATCTTGAAAGCTAGGTAGGATTCTTTTGGGGAGAAGAACGCAGCAATATTCCTGTAGAAAGTTAGGTTCATTTCTTATAATAGAAATTTTAAGTAATATTCCTGTAGAATGTTCCAATTCTTATAAAAGAAATAAGGAGTAATATTCTTCTAGCAGGCTTTGAAAAAATCTCGTGTAGAAAAAAAAAATAGGGAGAAGTATTTCTCTAGAAACCTTTGCATAAATCTGTTTAAAGAGCTAAACTACGGAGTAACATTCCTTTGAACGACTATTTCTTACGAAAAAAATTCAGAATCATACTTCTATAGAAGGCTATGTTAAATTCCCTTAAAAAAAATATTCCTCAAGAAGGCAATTTACTGTATGCAATTCACGTGGGAAAAACTATCAAAATTAAAAGTTTATGTTCATTTCACATGAAAAACTAAAATACTAGTACATAGTAAGATTCCTCTAGAAGGCTAAGCAGAATGCTCATGAAAAAAAGGTATCATTCCTCGAAAAAGCTACATGCAATTCTCGTGAAAAAACGAACAGGTTAACATTCTTCTAGAAGGCAATCTATAATTCCTACGAAAAATAATGAACTATGAAGCAAAATTCTTATAGAAGCACATACAGTTCTCATGTGTAAAAAAACGAATAGCATTCCTCTAGAAAGCTGGGTACA